GCTGGTAATCCTGTCTTCCTCTTGTAAGGTTAGAGGAGGTCAGAACATGTGGCCTCCTTGCCGTTTTTGTATATATGCACACTCACGTTCATTGCAGCACTATTTACAATAGCAAAAAGATGGAAACAACTTACATGCCCATCAGCGGAAGAGTAGATGACCAAACTATGGTACATACACATAATGAAATGTTATGCAGCGTTAAAGAATAATGTAGAACACTGTATTATAAGACTTATGCAAAACACTCCATGATATGGATAAACTTGGAGGATAATATGCTGAGTGAAGTAAGTCAATCACAGACTGACAAATATAGTATTAGTTTGTTGTTGTGGAGGGTCAAGGAAAGGTTTATATATGGAAGGAAACTTTCTTTGTTTGTTGCTAGGGGTGGGAGGGGAGGGGAGGGAAGGGAACACTGCAAAACAAAACAAAACAAAACAAAAAGAATGCATTAACCCATGTCACTTTAGTTTTGTGTATTTCACTGTACATAAATTATATTTCAATAAAATTCATTTAAAAAAAAAATGTCACTTTCTATTTTCCCTTTTCCTTTCCAGACACTGAATGAAGTGCTCCAACCCCTCAACAAGCTAGTTTACCCAGTAATGCTGAGCAATCTGACAACTTTGACTTCTTGGGCCCTGTGACCATAGTTTCCAGGAAAATATTTACACTCTTTAAAATTCTCAAAAGAAAGTACAGAGCATGGAACAAATCCTTTACCCTGGGTTTAAGGGGAGATTCCCAAGGACATGGCTATGTGTGGACAGGTACTCAAGGGGCTCCCTGCAGATCTTGGTCAAAGTAATTTTTTTTTAACACACTAAAAGGCAGCCTTATGTTCTTTCTTCTCTTAGACTGGAAACTTCCCAGCCCACAGAGACCCTTTCCTCTATGGGGAAATAAGTGTAGAAAAGGACAAGCATGGGGGTGATAAACAGACAAAAATTGTTTGGTTTGCCATTAACTGTTCACAAAAGTGGTAAAAATAAATAAAAACATGGACACCTAAATTGAACCTTGTATTTTTATTCAACTGACAATTTGTATTGTAAATATAGTCTATGTATATATATTTTGTATAAAATATATATTATTTTCCTTCTCCAATTATGAAGAATGATTCATTGCAGGGTTTTGGAACACACTCTCCTTACCTTGCCTGTGACACTTATTTTTAAGCTGAATTGTTCCATGTCATCTGCAAGTCTGTGGTGTTTCTTCTAATGACTGAGAACTCCTGCTGGGCCTCTTCATGCTTCCTGGCCCAGTTCCTTGTGATGCTGACATCCTCACAGCAGCAGCACTGAGATGACTTCCCTACTGGGGGTCCTTTGTCCTGGATTTTATCATCTAAGAAACATCTGCAAAAGTATCTTGTCACTTGAAACAATTAAAAAAAAAAAAAAACTGCAAAGATTAAGCATCATTTCCTTCAGGTAGTCTCGAAACTTGCCTCCTTAATTCCTAGGAGTACAAGCATATTCCTGCAGCTATTAGACAGCCAGCCATGTGGTCTTGGCTGCAGAAAATGGCAATGCACTCAACACTTAAAAATATCTCCAGATGATCTCAACTAAGACAATCTATTATAACTGAGCCTCTCTCCCTTTTTTTAAAAAAAAGCCATCAAGTCCACTGTTGTGGAGAGGGAATGGGCCCGGGGTACTTTCTGTTTGTATACATTTGTCTTCATGCAGAGGACACCCACAAGAACTCAGGCCCACGTGTAGGGGGTGTAGGCTCACACTGATGTCCTTGCCCTTCAGAGGAGCTCCTACTGGGTGTTTTTTCCAGAGCTAAAAATGTAAGGATTTCTGAGGCACTTCCTAGAGCATCCCTCCAGTTGCAATGGCAGACAAATACATTGTGTGTGAATATGCTTACAGGAAGAAGCAGCCACTCATTGAGTTGTCTATCTTAAAAATATATATATTTATACTGGAGAAAATCATATTTAAAAGAAAGTATAAAATATGTATCCAAGCCTTGCACTCTGACATTATATTCAACTACATTTTTACCCAAATAAACTGGCCTTGTGGTGGGCAGGAATGCTTTGTGGAAGCTGGCCAAGAATGTGCTTTTTTAGGAAAAAACAAAAAATAAACAACATTCCCAAAAGGAAGTTCTATGCTCTTATAAAGGGGGCTATTGATATTTTTCTGAGTATGAATTTCTAACCACATGGAAGTGAAACCTAGAAATTCTGTTTATTTCCTGCCTTTGCAGTCTGGTTAGAAAGAGGAAGCCAATGGCAGGTCCAGCACTACAAGCCACAGGGTGTGCTGCCAGCAGCAGTCAGCAGGGGGGCTGACTGCTTTTGCACATACATGCCACTTTCACATACCACATAAAAGCCCCAAAAGATGACACAGGGCCTCATGCAAGCAACTCCAAATGTAATCCTCCAATAGGTTACATTGTAACAGCTCATATTCACTATTGGCCTACTTGCTTTTTCTCAAGATATTGAAGTCCTCACAGAACTCCCATGCAACCCTACAGAAAGATATAACATATTTGGATTTAGTATTGTAAGCTTCACTAGGGTTCAGGGCAAAATATTTCTTCCAACTACTAATGGATGTCATGTACTCATGACTACACATTTTACATTCTCTCCTCCACAACTGTCTGTCCCCATCGTCAAGAAATAAACAGCAAGAAAATTATTAGGGAACTGTGAACACCTGAACTCAACATGGGAGGCTGCACTATTCTAGGGAAGAGGAGCTTAAAGGAAGGAATCCCTTGGATGACAGGTTTAGCTGAGTTTTTAATAGTTACTGTAAATGTGCATATCCACATACATATTTTTCAAGATAAGTTAGTAATATCTCTAAGAGCTTTCCACCCTTTCTATCCCTAATTAATTCCCTAGTGGTTACCATGATAGATTTCCTTGTGATATTTTAATCTTTGTATTGAAACTTCAAAATCTGAAATCTGATGTTTCCAACTAGGAAATTAAGAAAATAAGTTTACACATTTCATGATACATGATTTTATTTACATCACTGAAGTTTTTTTAGTCACTTTGATTACAAAAACAAATTATCTTCCACAGATAGGTGTTACAAATTTAATAACTGACAGATTCCTACTTAATTCTCAGTAATATTTAGTACTTACTGCATATATGCCTATAAAATGTCTGCCTGATAGGATTGATAGCTATGAGTATGTTTATAACTCAGGAATAGATAATTAGATTGTTAGTGAGGGCTAACTCCCCTTCATTGGGTCAGTCACTTAGACATGTTGTTCTCACCTCACCAAGAACAAACCTACTATAGCAATTCTCACATACTTAGTAGGCATTTCAAATAAAATCAGAGAGTTTATTATTATTTCTTCATTTAACAAGACTATCGTTAAACACATCCGAAAAACAAAAGTTTACTACAACTGTAGATATTTGTAAAAGAACTATCACAGTGTATCTGAAAAGTGGCCGAAACTAAAGCCACAATCCATTCCTAGTAAGTATTTACCACCTTTCTGGCCATATGTGTATGTGCACACATACAAGTCTCTATCACATATTCACCTAAGCCTGCTTGCTTTTGTGAAATGTCTATAAAATACAATGTTTCAATAAAATTATTTTAAGTCCTATTACAGTGCTTTAAATCAGAAGACCAGGCAGTGTTTTGGTAACCTGACCCTTTCCTGCAAAGTTACAGACAGGAGCAGGGTGTGCAGCAACAGATACAGAACCCCGGGGATTTCCTAAAAGCCACCCCACAAGACTGAAGGAGTGTTTTGAGTGAACGTGACCACTAGCAAGCCCTGAAGAGTAACAAGAAGCATACGGTCCTGGTCAGAATCTAAGAAATAAAATCCTCTGGTTATAGCAGCAGTAAATTATAAACACAGGAAGAGCTAATACACATGCCTTTTCATACAAGCTCTATAAGAGCCAAAACTTTATCTTTCCACATCAGAACTGTGATCTCAGATATATCAGTCCTTGGTCACTGTTAATGCTACTTCTAACATAACTAGCAGAATGGTTCCTTTTATAAGGAAGTTGATAAAATACAAATTAAACTGAGCACAGGCCTCAGGTGGGGCAGAGAGCCGATGGTGGCAGGGAGCCAATGGCATCCCACAGCAGTGAAATCTCTGGTGTCAGCAGTTCTCAGACTGGAGGCCACTCCACTCACACGCTCACCTCCTCCGTGCCATTCCTGTGCAAGGGTGATGGTCACACAACGCTGAATATGTAAGATGCTGTGATGGTGTAATGGGGACAAACATATCTTGTGAGCCCTCTCTCCTCACATCTGCCTGTCTAAATAGTAAATAGGGTATCAAATTTCTCCATTGTGCTAAATCACTTTAAACATGATCAAAATCAAATATCTTCCTAAGAAAAAGTGAAATGATTTTTAAAATTCATCTTTAGGTTATCAAATATTGAGACAAGCCTGTCCTGAGGTTTCCCTCATCATCTCCAGCTTTGGCAGGGCTTTTTACAACACTATTAAGACCTTGCTGGGTTCTGATTCTAAAACAAGGTCAGGTCATTTTGGCCTGTTTTTTCCTACTGTCGTTTTGAGAGTGTGCTTCATGGTTAAATCTTGTTGCCTTGTTTAATGACAACCAGGGGTATCAAAGAGCTCAGGTACAGTTTTTTAGACAAGAGACAAAGCCAAACACTTGTAAGCATAAAGTGCATGGTCTCTGCTGATAAACACATACCAACCCTAGACTCTGTAGGGTACTGAATAAGAAAGAATAAGCAAACACTTAACTTAGAATTCTTATCCAGTTTGATATGTTTTCCAGTAGGGAAACTTACTAGCTATCATAAGTAAAGCCACTTTGGAAAGCAGTTAAAACAAACTACTAAAAATGAGTTTGCCAACTTGGAAATTAACATTGGCTTAACCAGCTTGAATTTCACAAAGAAGGAGCCAGTGGCCTCTCCATTCCTGGCATGTTGCTTCCCTTATGAGTCCATTACCTTTCACAAGGAAACGTTAACTATCAAACTTGTCCATTAATTTTGCCGCTGAGGGTGAAACCATCCAGTTAGCATATACACTATCATTTGCATATCTTGGGAACACAGTGCTAGTGCCATCGAATCTTGTGAGTGGTACAGGACTCTCTTCAGGCCAGTTCGGGTCTGACATGCCTAAAAATGAAAACAGATAATTTGTTCTGCACTGAAGAACCAAAACTCCATGTGCAGACAGTAAGGCCTTGGCAAAACTCCCTTTGATGTCCAAACCAAATGTCTGGTTTCTGTGCCAGTGACATTAATGATTGTGTTCCAGGTTTCCAAAACACTGTTATATTTAGGGAAAATAGCAGTTGCTCTCTTAGTAAAAATGCAAACTGAATGGTAACTATAAAATTTGACTTTTATGTACTTCAAACTCTAAGATCTATTATGTCTTAGTTGAATTATTTAATTCTTTTTCTAAGCAGTGTAAAGTTTCAGCAAACTGCTGTACTAAGTGGATGATAGGAACAGGAAGCTTCTGCACTATAAAAAAAATCCCCTAACTTAAAAGAGCCTGCTCATCTGCTGTCAAAGTCCACCATGTTGGAGAAAACCTTCCAAATCGAGGGCAATTGCAGGCAAGCTCACAATTTTATTAAGACAAATGCAATATAAGCACTAGACCCACAGGCAGCAAGTAATCATTGATTCAGGAGGCAAAGAGAAAGCATATTTTCTGCTGAAAAATACTTTAAACTCCAAGATTTTAAAACAACTGATGATGAAAATGGCAAAAAAAAAAAAAAAAAAAATTTAATATGTAATCAAAGACAAAAGGAGGAGTTTTGGCAAGAACCGTATTTACTGTCCATCTCATGACCACAACACCACAGACATGTTCTTTTAAAAAAGCATTTGCTCCAGTTGTCAACACTGATTTTACAGAAGACAATTGTCATCACACTGGGTGTTTCAAAGGATGTGAAAATGGCAGTGTGTGTTTGTCCTCCTGAGACCTTGCTCACGTGACCCTGTAGCAGACATGAATCTGGGCCAGGCTTTTGCTCACTTAGCGCATAGCACCTTGACCTCAGTACAGGCCAAGTGGCGGTGGTTGCTTCCTTTGTAAATTAAACACCTCACCAAGTCTGGCAAATTTATACAAGTAGCTAAATTAGAAGTGTTTGCACTAACAGCCACCCAGAAGTAATTCAGCCATTGTTTTTTCAATATCCTAAAAGTACTACCCTGGTGTCTTTCTCCTTAATTGTCTTAAGTTTCCGAGTGTTGTGGTATTCACACTTATTTTCACATCCTTTTTGAAAAAACAAATTTGAAAAATGTCTAAATATAAACCTGATTCAAAGTCAAACATTTACAAATAAAATGGCTTCAGAATGGATTTTGGATTCATTGAGATCAGAAACACTCTCAAAAAGCATCAGAGTGTAAGGGTAGTGCAGAGGGAAAACAAATCGGGTTTTGTGTTGCTAGAATCTAGTAAATGCATGTGAAATTCTACCATAAAGTTTGTTTTCAATCCATGTGGAAGGGAGGGTGCGAGGGAGGGGAGCATTATTACAGTCCACCAGGGGCATCTCCTCTTCTGATAGGCCATCGTCGTAGAGCAGTGCATCAGATGGGGTGGAAGCAGCAAGATCCAAGTAGTCCTGTGAAGAGAGGGGCACCAGTCACTGGACCATTCTTGGAGCTGCCCAGCTCTGCTCTCCAGTCTCCATTCCCCTCCCTGTCTGGTTACTTCCAGTGTCCCCTCAGACAAAGCCCACACCAGTTAGGCCTTGCCAGCCCCTGGATCCTACCATTGTGCCCTGCCCCCAGTCCTTATAACTCCCCCTATATGTTTCTCTACTCCATTTCTTCAACTGGAAAAAGCACCTCCCTTCAGCAATGTACCCCTTCACTGGCCAAAACCAACCAACCAAAGCAGTAGACATCAAGTTGATTCTAACTCATGGTACCCTCACATGTGTCAGAGTAGCACTGTTCTCCATAGGATTTTCAATGGCTGATTCAGAAGTAGATCACCAAGTCTTTCTTCCAAGGCACTGCTGGGTAGACTTGAACTTCCAGTCTTTCAGTTAGCAGCAAACAGTTTTAACCCAGGACCCCTATTCACTGTGCAGGCCTTCAAGAAACACTGGGTGAGGGGGCCTAACCATGGCTGGTCCCATGCTCAGCATACCCCATCCTCACCAATACCTGGAAACTAACTATTTAAAGAAACTCTCAGGCTCTACAGAGTTCAATGTCTCCTACAGCTCATGCTGAAACATGGCCAGGCAAGAAGGACATGGCTGGCACTACCAGATATGTAGGCACTTTAGCTTTCCTTAAAGACCCTGCCATCTAGAACACCATAGCAAGACCTAGGTAGCTTAGTAAAGTCAGTGATGCTGGTCTTACACCCGGTACAGTGACAGGCTCTGGTTTCCAAATACATGGATTCACATATATTACAACTCATATGGCCCTTGTAAATCTTCAAAGAATGGTTTAAGGATTGTTCTGGTTGCTTCTTAGCAATATTCTAGGAAGGATGGATTTCTTAATATTGGCTGTCATTTCTGTTTAGGGTAACCCTGCATTCACAGGACCCATAGGTTTTGCTAGTCATGTTAAATTTCATTACACATGGCCTAGATCATGCACCCTGCTCTTTGTATTTGAAGAAATGACAACTTTTGTCAATATGCCAGTGTTAACATATAGCCTCTATGCAACCAACACAAGGGCCAGTTGAGCCCATCTTGTTTACTTGTAGCCCCAGAGTCTAAGACACAGTATAGTACAGAGCAGTTGCTGAATAAATATTAGTCAAAAAAAATACCAACTTTCTCATTTCATCTATAAGGCTGTGAACTGGAAGTATACAGACTGAATGTGGTCCCAGATATGTTTTGTTTGGCCCACCCAGGGCTTTTCAAAATTTTAATGAATTGCTAACATTAAAAACTGGGAGACTTAACATAAATAGCTCTTAAAATCCAGAAGACTGACATCATGGGGCTCATATTTCCATAGGCCACATCTGGCTAAAAGTGTCTTTGAGAAGGAGTTTTCACTCCTTTGTGCCACAGTCTCCATACTTCCTAATAAATCCCCATCCCAGCCTATTAGAGTGGGAATTTTTGATGCCTACTTCAACACTACATTCTCATATTCCATTATTGAAAACAATTTCACATGGCTGTGGAATACTTCCTCTTATATCTGTTTCTGGAGTGCTCTTCCTAAGGATCGAGCTCAGAATCTTGTTTCCTGGAAAAAGGTTCAGTCTTCTCCCTGCTCTCAGGTGACATCAAAACAGGTCCCTCTAAAGGAGTGGTAGGAAGTCTTGGCACAACTAGCTCTACTCCAGCACTGTGGACTCTGTGTGCTCAAACCCAGTGCCCCCCCACCCCTAGGTGATGCTAAAGTCCCTGGATTGCCATATTCAGCCCATAGGAGACTGGCTCTTGGGGGTAGGCTCTAGGAACTCACTCTGCTCTTAACCATCATCTTCTCCAGGTCTTTGCTTATGTCAGCAAACATTGGTCTCTTATCTGGTTCCTGCTTCCAACACTGCAGCATCAGACCGTACCTAGGGTGAGAACAGATAGAGGGTTATGCAAGACCCACAAGGACATGGCCTCAAACCTTAGCCCCAAGTTGTTTCTGCACTGCTGATGTCCCCTTCTGAGCTCTGCTGGGTAGGAATCAGGGCAGGTTCTGAGGGCTAGGCCTCAGCATCCTGTAATATTCCTTCTCTCTGAGAGGGGTCTATTTTACCTCCCTTTCAGACACTGACAGCAGCTGGTCAGATGTATGCCCACTATGGAAGCCGAGGTGGAAATGCCAGTCCCTAAAACTATTATGAAAGATGAACCAATTGAAGGGTTTTAGATGTGGAAACAAAAATACAAAAAGAAGGAAGAAAAACAAAACCTTTTGCAAATTGCACCTCTATTTTCCATAATTCACACCTCCCTTATCCTGGCAAGGCTCACTGGGTTTCCAGGGCTGCTATGTGGGTGTGGGATGGGCCATCTGGCCTCAATTTCTGTGATGCCACCACAGCCCCTCACTTTCACGCTGCCCTCCGCAGCCTCAGTATGGATCTCATATCATAAAGTGAAGGGATCCCTGCTTCTTCTTTGGCTTCTGAACAGCCCCTTCTGACCTGCTCCCAATTTGACCCCTAAAACAATCTGTTGGAATCACCCTATATAAAGTCTCTGTCACTCTCAGGCCAGAACCCAGGCTCCTTAGCATGGCCATCAAAACTCTTCTGGCTTTGTGCGTCAGTTCAGGCATGATGAAACATGCACCATGTGGCTGTTCTGAATCACTTGCCTTTCCCTGACATACCATGCCTGAAGGTCTGGGTCACCCTTGAGTCCCTCCCATTGCCTTACCCTCATGGCCCCTCACCTCTTCCTCCTTCTCATCCTGGGCAGGGCTGGGTCCTCTTAAATGTCCTCTAACTTCTTACCCATCAGTTTCTGCCCTGAACCCCCCCACTTCCCCCTCCCTATCCAGGGTGCTTTGGGGAGTGCATGAGTGTATGTCTCCCCTAAGCCAAGCATGCCCAAGGCTGGACCAAAACAAGCTCTGCTCACATCTCCTCACTGCAGTTGTCGGGCCTCTCCATCCGGTAGCCTGTCTTCAGAAGGTTAAAGAGCCGCTCTGGGGGGATCCCTGGGTAGGGGTTACCCCCCAGGGTCACAATTTCCCACAGCAAGACACCAAAGGACCACCTGCAGAAAGCACAGCGGAATGAGTGCCTTTGCCTAGGTCCACGTGCTCTCTGCTGACCAGACACCATCCCATCCACATTTCCATCTGATCCTAAGCAAAAAGACCAGCACCAACCTGTCCCCTGAAGGTAGAAGTTCTCAGGGAGCTCAGCCTGGATTTGGAAGCAAGGGTGGATGTAGAATGGAGCTGGAGGAAAAGGCCTCTGCCTGTTTACCCCTCACTCCTAAAAGAGCCAGGCAGCACATTCCAGAGGCCACCCAAGCCCACACTCCCTGAGCTCCGCCTCTACACAATTCACAAAGGGCACAACATAGAGCAAAAGCACTGCAGACATTGAATATGACTGTGCCGGACATTGGGATGGACTGTGGGAGGAGAGATGGGCAAAATGTGATAAAGTAACAACAGTCAAGCGTCATGTGTGTAATCCAGGTGAAGGGCTAAGGGAGTTCTGTGTATAACTCTTATCTTTTCTGTATGCTTGAAAATTTTCATAAATTCTTAGAAGAAAAACAAATGCAGTGCTATAGAAAATATTTAACTCTGAAGGAAAATTTACTGTTAAGTGGGAAAAAAATCATGCCATGAAACAGTCTGAACACAAGGGACGTATCTCTAGAATTTATAGAAAACTCCAACACCTCAATAACAAAAAGACAAACAATACAATTCAAAAATGGGCAGAAGACATGAATAGACACTTCACCAAGGACAATATTCAAGCAGCCAACAAACATATGAAGAAATGCTCACAATCATTAGCTATTAGAGAGATGCAAATAAAAACAACAATGAGATAGCATCTTGCTCCAGCACTAGTAGCAAAGTTCAACGAGACAGAAAATAAGAAATGCTGGTGAGGATGTGGAGAGATTGGGATGCTCATACACTGCTGGTTAGACTGTAAAATGGTACAACAATTGTGGAAAGCATTATGGCGATTCCTTCAATAGCTGGAATTAGAAATACCATTTGACCCAGCCATTTCATTACTAGGTATATATCCTAAAGAAGTGAGAGCCATGACAGACATATGCACACCCATGTTCATCGCAGCACTACTTAGCACTACTTACAATAGCCAAAAGATGGAAACAACCTAGGTGTCCATCAACTGAGGAATGGATATCCAAAGTATGGTACATACACACAATGGAATACTATGCAACACTAAAGAATAATATAGAATCTGCCAAACACTGCATAATGTGGATGTACTTGGAGGACATTATGCTGAGTGAAATAAGTCAATCACAAAAAGGACAAATATTGTATTAGTCTGTTATTGTAGAAGTCAAGGAAATGTTTATCTATGGAAGGAAATTTTCTTTGTTGGTTACCAGGGGTGGGAGAGGAGGGGAGGGAACGCTGTTAGATAGATAGAGATAAGTATTGATCTGGGTGAAGAGAAGGGCAATGTACCAAATGTGAGTGATCAATAGAGTGGCATTGAGGAAGAGAAAGACATAGAGAGGTACGTGGGAAGTACAGACAACAAAGATGAACCCTTTTGCACATATAGTACGGCATTGTCAGTGAAGGTAAACATGGGTATATGGGTGGATAGATGGGTGGACAGGCTGAACTATTAGGTATGTCTCTGAAGTGGGGAGTGTACCCAAGAACATGTATAGGGTTGGCAGACAATGGTCTTATAAGTTTATGTGAATGATCAGAATTCCCAGATGTATAGTGGAGCTGACAAGGGGCAAGATTGTGGTCACTGTTTGGTCACAGCCAGATACCCAGAGGCACCAAGTAGTTGAACCTGTGGGCTCGGGACCATAGTCACAGGGGACATCAACTCAATTGGCATAACATACTACACAAAACTTTGTTCCACTTCCTACTGTGGCGAGTAGCAACTGGGCTCTTAAAAGCTTGCAAGCTGTCATTTAGATGCAAGGATGGGTCTCTCCTTGTCCAGAGCAAAGAAGAATAAAGAAAACCAAAAATGCATGGAAACAATTAATCCTAGCAACTGGTACACCGTCAGATCTGCAGCTTATACGACTATGAGACCAGAACTAGATGGTGCCTGGCTACTACTCTCAACCACTTGGAAGAGGATCTATGTAGGAGATCCTGGATAAAGAGGGAAAACGATGTGGAATAAAACTAAAAATTATTTGGAAATAAACAAAGGGGGAACAAGGTTTGTTGATCCGATAAAGCCTGGTGGAACCACTGAGACTATGGCCCCCAGCTGCCCTTTAGGTCTGGAATTGAATCCACGCCTGTGGCTTCCAGCCAAACAACAGACAGTCATATGAGTTGAACATTTACCTGAGGTAGATACAGTCCTTGGAGAGAACAAGCATGGGAGAAAGAAGGGCTGCTTATGCACAGGGAGACAGCTCAGGGGGCAGGAGTGCATGGAGGGATGAACACAGGGAAGAGGAGGAAGTAGGAGGGGAGATGTTGCATTGTAGTAAATTGTGGTCAATGTCATGAGACAAAGTGTATGTGAACTGCTGTATGGAAAGTGTATTTGCTCTGCAAAATTTCACCCAAATCACACACACAAAAAAAAGTCTGAACAAGCTTGTGTCTTTTGTTACTTATGTGTGATATGAGTCAAATGCTTTTTAGTCTCTGTCTATGCTCTTCTCTGCATTTTTCAGTTTTCCTACAGCCAGTATTTATACATATTACATTGTAATCAGAAACAGCTGCTTAAAATTATTTAGGAACTGTCTCTCACAGCCCAGATTACTTAAGATATGCATGTCTGTGGATTGTGGATAAAGAACCTTTTAGAAACACATTTAGTTCTAGCCTCTAAGTGTTTTGGGCTGTAGCAGGCTACAGATCTCCATACAGGCTGCCTCTGGAGCTCAGTGTCCCCTGAAATGAGCCAGGAACAGTTGTAGCCTATGCTGAGGGCCCCTAGGAGAGGAAGAATTTGGTTGGGCCTATGTGTTACTAAGATGCCCAGAGCAGGGCGGAAAAGAGATGGGAAGGATAGGTCTGAGACCATCTGCTTCTTATATGTTGCACCCCAGCCTGGACCCTGGCCACATGCTTAACATATCTTCCATCGTGTGGAGGCCCCTGCAAATGGTGTCCGTGAGTCAAAAGGTACACAGGGCCAGAAATGCTCCACACCTAAGCTGCACACAGACACACATGCAAACATGCACACACATACACATGCACTCAGCCCTCCTCTATGTGTGTTGCACTTCTGTGTCTTCCCCTGCAAGGCCATGCCCACACTTACACATCACTTTGAGTGGTGTAGATATGATCAAAAAGGGACTCAATTGCCATCCATTTGACTGGAATCCGACCCTAGGCAGAGAGAGGTAAAAGAAAAGCCATTAAGACTGCTCATTCCAGGAAATTGCCAGGAAATGGAGGGCAGACGATTAGAACAGTGTTCTAAGTGCACCTGGCTCAGGGATGCTGAGTCCCAGCACCCAGAACACTGTAGAGCACAGAACTTATTACAGCCTCCTTGAGATGTCGGGTGTAAGAGGCAGCCTCGACGGGCATTAGGGGAAGCCTGAGATGCCACACCTGATAGGAGGCAGCCACAAAAAGCAGGACCATGCTTGTTCCATCTTGAAGTGGAGCCTCATTGGAGGCCCTTGAGATCTGAATCTGAGTAGTACAAAGCAGTGTGCTTTTCACTCCAGTCAAAACCACCTGTCCATCCAGATTGCTTTCAAATGGCTTTGGGGGCAACTGTGCTTGGGAATCCAATCTCCTTGTCTCCACCCTGGAGACTTTCAATGCAAAGTACCCACTACAGGCTCTGCTGAGAGGCCTTAGGGGAGAACCCTGCTATGTCTCCTGAGGCTAGCTTTCCCCACCAATTTTATTCTCCATTGCTCAGAGGTATTAATCAGCCCTGTGGTCCTTCCCAATGCAACTTGAAAATAGCTTTTTAAGACCTAATAGGTCTTAAGATGCAAATCAATAAAAATATGCATATACATGACTGCAGAACATTTAATACACTTTTGTTTGCTTAGAAATATTCTGTCGGATTTGTCTACTTACTGCAATACGGCAGTTGCTCAGGGCTAGGGGCAAAGCCACACAGCAATGCTCTTCATAGGCCACAGAAGCCCTTGGCCAAGATCAAGTTGCACACCTTCATTCTATGACACAGAGCTCCACCCCTCGCCCCCCTCCCCCAAAATGTATGCCATCAGGAAGGCTTTTCTGCACCCTCCCCAGGTAGGGCCCAGTGTGAGGGCCCTCCTTCACTTCCCCTTCAGTGGCTCTGAGTTCCGCAATCACAACAACCAGAATAAATGAAATACTGTTCTTATAACTTTTGGCAACAAAAATGGCTATTCCTGCCCCTTAGAGCACAGCTAAACCATGCAAAGTCACATTTTTTAGCAACCATCTTGTGAGTGCAACAGTGTCAGTTTGGAAGGCCTCTCCCACTGGGACTCAGAACAGCTCCATGAACTGGCCCTGCCCAGCCTCATCCTCACAGTAACACTGAAGGAGGGGCAGAAATGAACAAAAAGGCCAAAGGAGCTCAGGAAACGTTGAGGAGTTACACAGCTTCCGGAAGGACTAATGACCCCCCCATCACAGACCTCAGGTGAACTCCTATAGGCCCTGCACTCATGGCTGTTCTGGACCTGTTTCTGGAGGTATCCTGGGTACTTTTAGGATCCACTCCAGAGAGCCCCATCTATAAAATAGCAAATTACTTCCTGCAAAGTATGACTGTCCTCCCCAGTTTGTTTCACTTTCCCTCCAGTTTGTGAAATGTTAGATTACACAGAGAGGAAGTAGTGACTTTTTCTCAGCAGAAGCAAGAGAGAATCATCAAGGGGAAGAAGAGGACTGCTATTTTTAGTGTTAAGTGACCTTCAGAAGTGTAATGACTAAACCAGAAAAGTGGTGGCATGAGGTCTAAGAGTGTGGCAGCCTGTTTGGTGGCAAGAGCCCATTCTCATAGCAACAATGAATGGGATGCCCCTGTCTTTTGCCCTGGATTGAGACTCTGGAGTCAAGAAGGGTCATGGAAGGATTTGGGCTCATTGCTAAAAGATACTTAGTATTTTTCAACTGTGCTTTATATACTGTTCCAGAGGTTCTTGGTCATGGTCCCCACCCTGTGCTAGCAGCTGACACTGCCTGGATCTACCAGAAGTCCCTAGCCAGCACACTGGGGACTACATACCTTGCTCCTCTTAACATAGGAATCTTCTTCATAAACATCTCGGGAGAGGCCAAAATCTGAAATCTTCATCTTCCTCCCCTCAGCTACCAGGACATTTCTGGCTGCCAAGTCACGATGGACAAGCTATAAGGGAGAGAGTCACAGGGTCCCATCAGCCAGGACATAGCATGGCAAGGGCAAGGATAGGCAGGTAGCATGTCTCTGTGGCAGCACGCACCTTCATCTCAGCCAGGTATTGCATTCCCCGGGAGATCTGCCAGGCAAAGGAGATGAGGTCTCCCATGGTCAGGGCCCTCTCATCTGGGTTGTCCAGGTAGCTAGAATTGCGGCTGCCACCACTACTCACATAAGTGGGCCCCACCTTGCGGCTTTCTCGGAGGAAGCCCCTCAAGGAGCCGTACTTGGCATACTCCACGATGAGGAAAAGTGGCCCTGGAGCAGGAGAAGATAGACTGTGAGCAGCCTACAGCATGGCTAGACATTTTTCCAGGGCCATGGGTGTTTGGGTGGAGATCAGGCTATCACTGGGGAAAATGGCTCTGGGAACACAGGGGATGGGAAGCTGCAGGGCATTAGACAGGCTCTGCTACCCTACAAGAAAATCACCGAAGGACTTGGCCCAATCTCGTGCAATGAGCACCCTTTGGTACCATAAACACATAAAGAATCACATACAGACACAGACACACAAACCAACTGCCACTGAGTTGATTTGGATTCATGAGGACCCCATGTGCATCAGAGTAGAACAAACCTTCATGGGGTTGTCATTGGGTGTGACTTTGGGGAAGTAGATCACTAGGCTTTTCTTTTGAGGCACCTTTGGGTAGACTTGAACTATCAATGTTTTGGTTAGTAGCAAAGTACCTAACCATTTGCATCACCTAGGGATATGAGAGTCACAGCTACTGTTAAATTCCTTCTACTCCGCCATGGACTGTGGGGCCAGCATTGGCTCCTTGGGCAGTAAGCCCAGCCTTCTCCTTGGATGCCCTCAGGAAGGGACCCAATTGTAGTCAGCACTGCCGGTGAGGCACCTCTCCCTTGCTGGAAGCATGAGCCACAGTCCAGGTAGTAACTGCTAAGAGAGGAGGAGGGTTATAGGCACTGGACCTGCACAGGGCTTTTAGACCTGAAGGCCCAGCTCAGAATTCAGTCAGCTTGGGGCCTTGCCTGCATGCAGCCTACTCCCATATCTGCAACTCCAAGTCTTCTGCTTTTGCCAGCTTCTGGGCTCCATTTTACCCTAGACCAACCTAGAGCCCTGCCTGTGAGTTGAATGGCATTCTGCAGCCCTCTCTCTGTTGTTCTCTGTGATCCTGGGGATAGCAGAACAGGTTTGGACCACCAACAGACCTAGTTAATGGGACCTCTGACTCCTGTGTTCTTATCTGTGAAATGGTGACAATGGCCTGCCATGCAGGGCTGGAGCCTGTGGGGGTTTGTCACTTGGACATCACAGAAGGGTGATGTCCAAAACACAGCAGGTGCTTACAGAAGAGTTGGCAGGGAGCACTGTCCACCCCTGGAGCACCTACTCTGGATACCTGATCCAGGAAAATGCTCTGACTGTGGAGAGGCGGCACTGTGAGAGTACCATGCAGCCTCACTGAGTACTCTCCACACCCTCTCATGAAAATTCACCATAACATCAAGTCAGAAAGGTCACCTGCAGGAGCCACCTCTGGGAGGAGGAGATGCCTCTCATCCAGTGACACAGGAAGAAGCAAGCCCAGCAGGGAGCAGAGAGAGGATGATGTGAACAGGGACAGGGAAGGAAAAAGAGGGAGAGCTGGGGTTCCCAGGGCCCCTGCCTGCGTACCGTCCTGGCTGCAAGCCCCATGTAGCTTGATGACATGGGGGTGGTTGACCTGTTTCAGGAGGTTGAACTCTGACAGCAAGTCCCGCAGCTCACTTGGGGAGGCATTCTCTGAAATGCAGCACACATAGGGTAGGCTTCACATGAGTCCCTCTGGAGCCCCATCCCCCACTGCCCTGGGCTTAGGACAGACTCCTGGAGGCTGTTTGTCACACAGGTGCCCTACCCAGGTTCACACAGAGGCTTACAAGTATTCAGGTGCTAAGGCTTCTCCTAACCCCTGGGTGAAGTTGGCAGGGCCTCTGTCTGCCTCCAGGGAATAACAATCTGGAGAGTAGATTTCCACATGGCAGGCTGGACAGTATATGTAAATGTGCCAGTGTCTCTAGGAAGACAGCAGTCCCCAGAGATCCCCCTTATCAACTCCAACACCCACTGATCAAGTGATTAACAGTGGGATGGGCCCTGGAGCAGGGTGAAGAGCAGGGTGAGGAGTCCACACAGCCCTGCCATGGGCTTCCAAACCCATACTGAAGTCTAGGGTCCCCCAGAGCCTTTATGAGGCACCTATGGGAAGCCTAGAAACACCCACACTGTGCCTGTAGTGTCTGTGCCACACGTTTAGCATGACTGCTGTTTTTGTTTCATTGGCACAGAAAGTCTGACATTTGAGCTCCTGAAATGTTGATTACCATTAGCCATTCTGGTATGGGATTTTCAGATAACGATGCAATCATTCTAGCAAGTCTTAGTGCTTTTGGTGCTTCATGAAGACAAGTGTTGAGATTTCACCTTATGCTGAACCCAGCTTTGTTCTGGTACCCACCACACCTGAGCAGGGCTGTTTACTGACAGTTTCTCCTGGGTCCGTAGATCCTCATCCCCATACTCCTGTCCTACCCTACCCTCTGTCCATGGACTTGTGTTCTAGAAGCTGGAGAACAGCTTGGATCAGGACCCCTTTAGAGCTGGTATTTGGGCCACTCTGGGGGCTGGGGGTATCATAGGGGTCAGGCATCCCTGGCCTGGTCTCTGGGTAAGCATCTGGAAACCCTGACTCTTTGTACTGGAACTTGGTGCGCATGATTGCCTCATTGCACTGAGGTCAGCCTCATATCCGTATTGATACAGATGGCCCAGACTGCTCAGACACACGGCACATGTTATGTGCAGGCAGTGGCATGTCAGTGGAGAGCTGGACTATAGCATGAGGAGTTCAGACTCATCTGAACCTAGAGGTGGTCTAGACTTCCTTACAGGAAATCTCTCTAGCAGACCCAAGAGTTGTGAAAGGCAGCAGAGAGGCTCGGGGGACTGTTGGTCCAAAATCAAAAGGGCTTTTAATTTTTTAAAACTTCACTGAGTGTTAGTGGTGAAGCAGTACCACTAAGAGTCTTCCAAGGAATAGAGAAGCACATCTTCACCTGCTTCTCTGAAGACTTGGCCTATCTCATCTGTAAGGTGTGCCTGGGCAGGGTGTCCCCAGACTGTGGCCATCAAGAACAGCAAGAAGGCTCTTCAAGAGGCTCCATGGTATGCAGCAGTGCCCACTGGGCTCTTTATATGACTTACCCAGATGCATCACTGACCAGGCAATGACACCCGCAGGAGTGCACAAGGGAGCCCTACATCCAAGCCTATGACAGGTGTGCACATCAGAGCCCCACAACCACACCTACATGGCACAAGTGTGCATGAGAGAACTCCACAGCTCATGCCCATACCAGGACACATGCACAAGGGAACCCCACATCTAGATGGGACAAGTATGCATGAGAGAGCCCTGCACTCACACTTATGCCTGGACAGGTGTGAATAAGGCAGCCCTGCATCTATGCCCACACTGCAATAAGCTACCTTTCAACATTTTCACAGCCACGGTTGTGTAGCCTGCTTTGCCTTTGAGTCGGAAGGCTGTTGCTTTGACCACTTTTCCAAATTCACCTTCTCCCAGAGTTTTTCCAAGGACCAAGTTCTTCCGAGGAAATTCCCACTTTGGGTCCTCCTATATTGGGGTTGAAAGGAAGGGAGAGAAGAGCAGAAGGGAGCAAGAGGTAAGTTCAGGTAATAGGATGGGAAGAAGGTGGATGGATGGGCCCCCAGATCCAGGGCACTGACTATCATCAAGGTCAGCACAGAGTAACTACCACCTCCACAGACAGTAGGACCTGGAGCCAGTCCCAGGGCAGTGCTATAAGACAGTCACCCCTGTCAGGAAGGCAGGAGCTACCAAAGAACCACCTGGATTCAGGGTGCCAGGTGTGGCCTTAGTCCTCAGCCCTATCCTCCCTTATCCTGTGGTGGATTCAGCCTGCCCTCGTCCCTTCCAGTCCACTTACTGTCATTCCAGCAGCTATACCAACTGCTGTGCTCAGAGCAGTTGGGGTCTTATACCAGTGTTACCTGCACTCGTGGGTCTCATGCCATTGTCATCTCCCTCTTTCCAAGACAGTCATAACCCTCTCAGTGAGGGCTCATTTGGACACCAGGCCTGAAGCAGTGCAGACTCCCTCCTGGCAAGACCCACAGAAAGATCAAATCTGCATTTGTGGAGGTTTCTCCAGGAGAGAAGGCAGCTACTTTGCTATTTGTAGCTTACAGTACAGGTGAAAATGCTCTCATATGCAATGGTAACATCAACCATCCCTGCATGCACCATGTTCTCCTATGCTCTCTGCTATCCTACCAAAACCATGTCTACATTTCAGGCCTTCTTAGGACTATGCTAAGTGCCTTCCCAAACTCAAACTCCTCTTATGATGCTCACTCTGAACTCCCACTAGGGTGCCAATGCCCATCAGGACTGAACTGCCTCTCTTGTGCCTGTACAACCAGGTGTGGGTTCATCCCACCATGCTCTCTGCCAGCCTCCTACTGCCTAAAGACAGCACCAACATCAGCCTGGGACCAAAGTCTACCCTTTCTGACACCTGCTTATGCCTCCTTTAGGCAGGAGGGCTGTGAATGTGTTCTAGTTCTTACCTGGTGTCATCAAGAACTGAGAGTTAGGGCACTAGCTAAGAAATGCTGTTACTGTTTCCACCACCTCTATGGTGGCATCTAATAAGCCCCCACTGCACATCAGAGATACACTAATGAGGGACAAGAACATCAGCTAAATCCTTTAAAAATGTTTAAAATGCTATTCTCTCTACTTCATGTAGAAGAACACTAAGGCTGAGAGGCTAAGTCAAGAGTCCACAACCTCAGAACTGAGGAGTGTTGAAGGATGATGCCAGCCTGGGCCCTGGAAGAAAGTCATATAGGTGCCTGGAGGGGCTGCCCCTTCACCTGCATCAATCCTCTCCAGCACCATCCCTCTTGAGAGCCTCACTGCAAACTGTTGGCTCCATGACAGAACCAAGCACTCTTCCAGAAGGCTTGCCTTGGAGGTTAAGCTGTTGGCAGGATGGGCCAGATCGACAGTCAAACAGCACCCTGGGCAAACCAGGAAGCCCAAGGACCAAAGAATCCACCATTTCTGAGCACTTTCTCAATGGCCTAAACCCCTCACCAAGGTGTAGCATGTCACCTAAGCCAGGCCCTGCAGCAGCCCACCCTGGCCAAGGCTCCAGGGTAAACCCACTGGGGGGGCACCTCCTCTGAGTCCCTGGTCTCCTCCTAGCTCCTTATCTATCCAGGCCTAAGGGGATGTACACACATCACACAGATATATACACATGCACAAAAATACACACATGCATATGTGTGCACATGCATGTGTGCACATATGCACAGATTCATGCACTCAAGAATACACACATGCACATAAACATTCACATACACATGTGTGCATGTAAACAGACACATACACACACAACCTAGCCTCTGAGCACTTTCCCTGGTTTCTCCCAGAACCCAAGGTTCAGCTCCTCAAACAAAGGAAAAGGCAGGTCCATCTGTATGCAGAAGGCAGAGGCTGTCCTGCCACAGGGCCACAATGTGGTCAAAGATGCGGAGGCCCCTGGTGGATGCCTCTCCTCAACCTGACTCTGAGGAGCACATTCTGACTGCAGGGCCAGGCCTTCTCCACTTGGTCCTTGGGATTCCCACAAATGAAAGGGCCATCGGAAGCTACAGCTCTCCCCTCCAGCAGGCCAGCAATTCGTCAGCTGCCTGTTAGGCCCTACATAGTCCCTCCATGTTGTGTGTGGCCTCTGGACCGAAGCAGCACACACCTAGGACACCCTGTCCACTGAGACAGACCTGGCCATGCCCTTGTCATTCTCTCTTGCCTGAATCTGAGTAGGGGACCCATGATGGAGTTCCCACTGCTGCTCCAGCTCCATATTTTCCTTGACAGAGTGAACTGCTGAAACATAGGAGGAATATATCCCTCCTTAGCAATCCTCCCCCTAGAGACCTCAACTCCTCAGATAATAAAATTCAAATCTCTCCTCAGAACATTGTGGGCCACTTAGGAACCTCTGAGGAACCTCTTCCTTCTAGCCTTTGGGGAAGTAGCCTCAGGTCCTCTTCCTGATTTACCAGGCCTGGCCTCAAGTCTCATCTGCCTAAACTAGTACCCATCTCCACATCAAACTGCCTCCATGTCCCCAAACCTCAGAGAGTGTCTCTTCAGGCTGGTGAAAGTTGGCTCAGAAAGCCTAGGTTGTCTGTGAGTTCTGAGTGCAAGCTCACAGTGGCAGGGAGCCCTGCAACCAAAATCAGAAGTCAACTCTGCTGCAGGCCCACAGAGAAGGGCTGGCCCAGCTGTGGTGCCCAGTCTTCTGCTGGGGGAGCCTCACCGGGATCTTGAAGGTGTCCACTGAGACCTGGTTCTCCATGGAGTCGAGTGAGGGTCGGCGCGTGCCAGACGAGGAATAGCTGACTGGGAAGGCCTGAGCAGGCCGGCGGAAAGTCATCTCAGCTGAGGCAATGGGTGGCTTGTGGGCATTCTTGTGGTACCGGTGGATGCAGAAGGAGGAGAGCAGCACAGAGACGATGAAGGAGAAGAGCACAGCTGCCGCGATGACTGTGCGGCAGAGTTCGTCACACAGCACCTCTGTGGGCAAGGACTATGTGAGCCCATGTCCTGGGGCTCATTAGCACCTGCAGGAGCCAGCCAGGTGCTCAGGGGCACTCAGAGGCTGACTGAAATGGTTCTCAGCAGCCAGGCAAATGAGGCCCACTGACTTGAAGGTAGTGAGAATAATTTGCCAATGACACTGACCAAGTGCATCATGACTGCCTTCTTAAATGTGGTCACATGCAGCCAGTGTGCCTCACATGGTGGGGTGGGGGGTGGGGGTAAGGCATAGGAGTCCTCCACAGACACACACACATACACACACACACATACAGAGCCTCAGCCACACCCTCTACCAAACCCTGCAGGGCTGAAAGGGAAGCAAATGCTTTTCTCTGTTCCAGATACCTTTGATATTGTCTTTATAAAAAAGGGAAGGGGGGGGGGAAAGTGACTCAGAACCTAACTAAGGCCATGCAATTATAACTCAAACACTGAAAATGTTGCTGGCCTCAAGATAGAAGGCTTTCACTAGTGTGGTCAGCTTGGGCTGAGGGCCAAAGGGTGTCAGAGTCCCTGCATATCTGCTGTCCACTACACTACAGCCCTGGGACAGCCTTCAAGCTGTCTGGTGGACAGCTCACTGAGATACACAATGGAAGAACTGATGCCACTGGATAGAGCTTTGGCCCTGGAAGGCATTCTATGGGGCACTGATGGGGAGACTGAGGCCCAGTCTCACAATCTCACTCAGCTCCCACAGTTTCCTCCCTCTGTGGGGCCTAAGCATTGTAAATATCTGTCTTCCTTGGAGCTTAGGAAGATGTGGGAACATAACTTGGGGTCCTGGCCCTTGTCCACCCTGGCCAAGTCCTCAGCCCTGCCTGGCCTGTCACTTACCTTGGCTATCTTCTGGCTCACAGAAGCACTTCTTATCCTCAGGGAAACAGTTGCAGATGCCATAGCCGGCTTTAATTCCCCGCCGTTCCCCAGGCTCATGACCACCAATGATGCTGCCTCCCCCTGGGGATGCAGACACAATGTACTCAGCCTCCTGCCCAGGCTTACCACTCCTTGACCCCAAGACTTCTTGTCTGAGGTGCACAAAGAGCGCACACCCACTATCAGCATTCTAGGCCTGGAATGAGCAGTGTGTGGAGCTGGTTCCCATAGGAGGTGGGGCAAACTGTCCAGAGTTGAGGGCCTTGCTGGCAGGACAAAGCAGCTGTGCCCAATCAGTACCTTGCACTGGATCCAGGCCCCATGTTTGGGACAGAGCCCTTCTTTTACCTCCAGTGAAAGTTAGGGCCCTACAATATAGCACAGAAGTGGCGACTGGCTGGGTACATATCTACTGCCTCCCACCTTGGCTGTATGCCTGTGGGGCTCTTACGGAGGCAGTCCTGGGGACAAATGTGTAAGTCCTTGCTTTCCACGGCATCACAGTGGCCATCAGGGCAGGTCTTGGTACTGGGGGAGCAGGTTGAGAAGTTCCTGGTGATCCCTGTGACACACAGCAAGCCAGTCATAGCCATGTCAGCATGTACCTTCCCAGGTTTATTGGGAGAGACCCTGGAGGAAGCATCCCTACCCACCCCCCATGGCTTAGTCAGACTATTAGGGTTAGAGGCTCCCCAAGGGCCTCCCCAGCCAATCATGCCTGCTAAGGAAGAGTAGCTGGGGTCTGAGCAGAGAAAGGCACAGGCTAGTATCTTGAGTGCACGTTTAGCCAGGCAGCAAAGAAAAAAACCCATGGTCCTGGGACTGTACCAGGTACACTTCCAGAAAGGAAGGGTGTTGAGGCAGGTGGGCCAAAACTCTCTCAGAGTCTCACAGTGCATGGGAGACCCATGGTGGTGACCCCTCCTGGAGTGGGGCATCTAGAAGAGCTTCAGCTATCTGCACAGGGTATAAAGCATGAGCCATGTGAAGGAGAGCACTAGAATAGAGGTGGCCCAACAAGAAGGCTCTAGGGCCTGTGGATCCTACTTCCCCAGTTCTAAATCATCCTTGGTCTCTGGGCCTCTCCCAGCTGCCATGACATGGGACCTACCTTTTCCATCACCCTGTCTCCATTCGCACCTGCCGGTCAAGGAGCCTAGGCCGCTGCACTCCTCACACTCAGGGCGCCGCTTGCTCACTGCACAGGACAAAGGGCAGCCAGCTGCTTCAGCCACATCTGGAGGGTGGACAAGCAGGGTCAAATGAAGCTGGCCAGCACTATCAACAGGAGGAGCACCAGCTGAGGTGCCCAGCTTTCAAGCCAGGAGGCACGACTCAGCACCAGGGCAGCAGAGCTAGTGTGAGGGCACAGGGCAGTGATGGGACCTAGGACAATGTCCTGTCCATATAGCAATGGGGTGTGGTACCTGCCCACCACAGTTCACAGTCACAAAAAGAAAATTTCTGAGATCGGCCCACTATGGGGAAATGGGGAGAGCAAGGACAGGGAGCCAGGGACAGAGGACAGATTCAGCAAATCAACATATAGAATATCCAGTTAGCTCTGAACTTCAGATAAACAATGAATAATAATAATGTAAGGGACAGAGTTAAGGAGCTCTTCTGGTGTAGTAGGTAAGGCATTTGGCTGCTAACCCCAAGCTCAGTGGTTCAAACCCACCAGCTGCTCCATGGGAAAAAGATGAGGCAATCCACTTTTGTAAAGATTTACAGCCTTGGAAACACAATGGGGGTCACTATGAGTCAGAATTGACTCACTTCCAGTGTTTTTTTTTTTTTTTTTTTTTTTTTTTTTTTAAGGGACATAGTTGGAAGATCTGTCTTTCATGAGAGGACACTCTATGGCATCTTCAAATATTGCATGAGATATACTTATACCAGAAAACTATCTGTTGTTTATCTGAAATTCACATTTAACCAGGGCCATGTTTTTTTTCTGGTGACCCTGAATTAAGTGCATGTCTGGACTATATCAAAGGTATTACTGGTGTTGGGGAGCAGCAGCCACTTGAAGGCAGTTCTTTGTGGAGAAGCTGCTTCACATTCTTCCCGTCCAATCTTTCCACATGGCTGTGAAGTGGAAATTGTTGCTCTGTATGTATGGAAGGCTTAGAGAGTTTCCAGAGCGTGGCACAGGGGAGCCAGAATTGCAGGGTGAAGTTGCTTCATGCCTTCCCCTGCTAGAGTCCCAGCACTAGACTCTAGACCCATGCCCCACCCAGTCCCCTCATGTCCTGGACACTCACATGTCCCTTCCACTGTGACAAGCAGCTGGACCTGGGCCTGCCTACGGGTCTGCCGGTCGGTGGCCACTACTGTGTACTGGAGCTCAGCACAGTCAAGCTGCCGCAGAGCCTCTGGGTCACTCACAAACAGGGTCCCCGTGCTGTCCTCTGCTGAGGTGACCATTCCTAGGGTGCTGTAGTTGGTCCCATAGGGCTGCAGTTTATACTGGACAAGGATGCCGCTGAACTCCAGGCAGTGCTCCACACAGACTTTCCCCACCTAGGTGGAGACACAGGTGTTTCAGCCAGGTGCTGTCAGGGTGTGATTCCATGGCAGGGAGAGGAAATCCTAGACAGCCACTGACCCAGAATCCCAGCTCAGACAGGAGTTACTACCACCCCTAGGAACTCCATCCTTCTGCCTCCCCTGACCACTTAATGCACAGGCCACTTGCACAAAGGGGTGCCAGGCCCCCTTGGCCTGACCATGCTGTTCAACCCATAGCACTACCACCCTGGCCCTGGGATCCAGATTCTTCCAGCATAGGGGTGTGGCAAAGAGTAACAAGGCATGTTGAGGTTTGGTTTGGTGGCAGGAAAGGACCAAGGCAGGCCCTCTAGGGAGAGGTTGACTTCCTCCCACCCTATACCTTCCTCCCTTCGTTCAAGCAACAGAGGTTGATGCATACTTCCTATGCTGCAGCCCGTGCTCAGAGAGCTACACATTTAGTACTGAATGAAGCTGACCAAGGCTCTTGGAACTTACATCCAAGGGATGAACTGCCTCTCCAAAAGCAGATAAACAGGGAAATATATTCCCATCAGGCAATGGGTAATGATGGGCAATGGGTTATTTAGACAAGTTGATCAGTGAAGGGGCTGTCTGAAGGTGATGTGAGCAAAGCTCTGAAGAAGCCAATTCTGGGTAAAAAGTTTCCAGGTGGTTAAAGAAGTATCCAGGTAGATAAAATAGCACATGCAAAGGTCCCAGGGTAGAACAGCTGGGAATTATTTTTACACTTTTTTTTAAATTGAGGTAAAATTCTCATAACATAAAATTCTCATTTTAAAGTAAACACTTTAGGAGCATTTGGTACATTCACAATGTTGTACAACTACCACCTCTAACGAGTTCTAAAACATTTTCATCACTACAAAATAAAATCCATGCCTTTTATGCATTTGTTCCCCTCTACCCCCAGCCCCTGGTGACCATCAATCTGCTTTCTGTCTCTATGGATTTACCTATTCTGGATATGTGATATAAATGTTGTTATGTGCCATCAAGTCGGACCTGACTCATAGCGACCCTTCCTTAGGTTTCCGAGGCAGTATCACTATGGAAGTAGATTGCCCAACCTTCCTTCTGAGGAGTGGCTGGTGGGTTTGAACCGCTAGCCTTTTGGTTAGCAGTCAAGTGCCTTAGGCACTGTGCTATCAGAGCTCCTGTAATATAAATAGAATCATAAAATATGTGGCCTTTTGGGTCTGGCTTCTTTCATTTAGCATAATGTTGTCAAGGTTTGTCCATGTTATAGTAGGTGTCAGTATTTCATTCCTAAAAAGGAATGGCTTTTATAAAAATGGCTGAATAATGTTCCATTGTATGGAAGTACCACAATTTATCCATTTATCTGTTGATGGACAGTTGGGGTATTTCAACCTTTTGGCTATTACGAATAATACCGAGCCCATCTTTCTTAATGCATTCTCTCTGAAAACATAATGAAGAATAATCCTTGAGATTTTGGCAAATTAGGCCCACTTCCTCCTCAAAACAAAAATTCTTCATGTATTTATCCACAGCTGGGAATGTTTGAGAAACAGCACAGTGGTGCCTTCCAGGTTTCCTCATGTCCCCACTGCTTCTTTGTTTCACATCTCCCTCTTCTCAACAACCTGCTTCTCTAGCTGGTTGGGTGGGAATCATTAGCCTGGTGGTAGAGCCAGTCAGCTCAGGGCAGCCACCTGGCCCACCATCCTCACAAAAATGTATAGTAATTTGTGAGACTAGAAACCCCAGACAAGCTCCAAGCTGCCTCAGGATAGCTGAGGTTAGGGGTGGAGGGATCAGCCATAGGGATGCCTGGCCAGATTGTGGACACTTGGAGTGTCTGTGAGGCTCTGAGGAAAGACCTGGCAGTGGGGAAGGGACTTCAGGCTGAAGCAAGTGCTGACAGATGGTAACCTGGAGCCTAACAGGACAGGATGAAGCCCTGAAGAGGCCCATCCTTGGCCTTTGTGGCCCCAGGGGTCTCCATGGTAAGGTGGTCTCTTGTTCCCTCTCCTTATGGCCATGGACTTTGGTGGGTCAAGCCCTCCATGGGATTTTCAAATTGGGCACTTAGAACACTGACCCTTGGCCATGGGACTTGTCTCCCAGTGTGATCTCCTAACCCAAGCTGTGCCAGGGAGGTCTCTGGGACTTGGGCCTTTCTTCTGTGGTTGCTAGGCTGGCTGCCACCACAGAAGAGTCCACCCTTGCTGACTTTGCCATGTAGGTCCTAGAGTGATAAGGCTTTACTTTATAGGTCTGTAAGCTCTCCTCCTACTCCAGACACTCTAGGATGAGGTGGCCATAGTGGGAACCAAGGCCAGAAAGGAAAAGAGGTCTTTGGCCCTCAGCTGACCTAGCCTGTCCCTGCTTAACTCTGTGCCCCTTGAAAACTCACTGTCATCGAGTTGATTCCAACTTATAGAAACCTTATACAACAGAATTGAATTGCCCCATAGAATTTCCAAGGCTGTAAAATTTGTGGAAGCAGATTGCCTCATCTTTCTCCTGCACAGAGGCTATTGTGTTTGAACTGCTGACATCTTAGTTAACAGTGAATGTTTTCACCACTGTGCCACCAGCCCTGTGTTGTTGTTGTTGTTATGTGCCGTTGAGTTGGACCCAACTCATAGGGACCCCTCCTTGGGTTTCCGAGGCAGTATCACTACCGAAGTAGATTGCCCCATCTTCCTTCTGAGGAGTGGCTGGTGGGTTTGAACCGCCAGCCTTCTGGTTAGCAGGCAAGTGCCTTAGGCACTATGCGTGTAGGCCCACCCAAAAGCAGAGCCATCAAATGCTGGATTCCTTTAGGCCCATATTTGACATTACCACAAAAATGGTTGACTAGGTGCGTAGCACTTTCCCATTCACAAAATTCACAAAGCCAGGGCTTGTCTACTTATCCTCAGTACTGCCCAAGGTCACCATCCTTAATTCACAATTTAAAACCTGGGAAAGGGGTGAGTCTTCTGAATATCCTGAATCTTTCTGTGGGGACTTCCTCCCCCACTCTGCCTTATCAGCCCAAGGCCCCTCAACTTATCACTCCTGTTCTACCACTGGGGACTTTATGAAAGTCCTAGGTGGACAGCAGGTGGGCCCTTTGTGCGCTCTACCCAGGCAGCTACTAGGAGTGGATGGGGTATGGAAACCACCCACAGGGATTAGGGGGCAGCCAGTAAAAGTGACATTCAGGAAAGAACTGATCTACACACTCTCCATTAAGAGAACATAGGGTACTAGACCAGGTGCACACTGTAATTGCAGCCAAACAGAAAAATGCTAGGGAAAGACATTCTAGAAAGAACTGCACCAAAGTGTTCAATACTGGTTATTCCTCCATATTCCTTTTCTTTAATGAACATTTATTACTTTTTAATTTTCTACTTCTATTGTTTTCCAATAACAAGTGTAACATAAGCTCTTTAGAAAATACATTTGAAAGATGTAAAAAAGTGGAAGGCTCTGCCCTTTCTACCAGAAGGAGCCACTGTTAATTGCTGTCTTTGCTCACACACTTGCAAATTCTTATCCATGAAGATCTGTTTTGCATAAATGGAGTCATATGAGACCAACTGTTCTGCAAACCACTTTTTCCCTTAAAGAACAGCTATCTTGAGTCAGGATATATAGATTTACTGGCCTTGCTCTTACATTAGTGTGTGTGTGTATGTATGTGTGTGTGTATGTGTGTGTGTATGTGTATATATATATATATATATATATATATACACACACATATATATATATGTGTATATATATATATATATATAAACCTCACTGCCATAGAGTCAGTCCCAACTCATAGCAACCCCTTCTTGGGTTTCTGAGGCAGTATCTCTACAGAAGTAGACTGCCCAGTCTTGCTTCTTAGGAGTGGCTTGTGGGTTTGAACCACCAGCCTTCTGGTTAGCCATCAAATGCCTTAGGCACTATGCCACCAGAGATCCTATACTAGTATATAAGAAGTCTTAAAGATGCCCCCAAAAGGAAAAGAAGAAAGAAAGAATAGCCCAAGGACTACACCAGCTCTGCCACTTTGACCTTTCTAGGCCTTCCCTGCCCACTGCCCACCTCCCTGGCCCTGTATTCAGGGCTATAACATATGCCAGCTCTGTGCACTGGTTGGGTAGAGAAGGAGCATGGCTCATACGCCAGCACTGTTTTCTACCTTCTAATCAAACACCACAGAGCACCTACTAGGACCCCAACTCTCCATGCTCCCCAGCAGGTAGCACTTAGTGGGCTCACCTGGGCAAAGCGGTGGGCCCTCCTGCTCACCACAAAAGAGTAGGCACTGGGGAAACGTAGACTGATAGGCAGCACAGAGACGTTGAAGTGGAGAAGCAGGAAGCTATCACCAGGGCCCTGGAAGTCAGAGTCATTCACCAGCACAGCCAGCTGCAGGGTGTGGCTCTCTGAGATGAGGAGGCTCCGGTTGAGTACAAGCCCTGTGATAGGTGAAGGGGAGAGAGATGATTCCTGAGATATCTCTGGGCCATGGGCCATACCCCATGCCCACTGTGCATCTTCTCTCAGAGGCACAGCCCTATGCTCATACGCAGCCTAGTACACAGGTGACAGGCCTGGAGCTGTGCCAGATTAGAACCGCTATGTTTCACCAGGCTGGATTGGGTGCCCCAACAACCGTTTTGAGCTAGGAGATGACTTGTGTGTGTGGGTGTGAGACAGTGAGTGTGTATGTGTTTGTGTGTGTGTGTATATGTTGAATGGGGTTAAGGCACATGTGGTTAGTATCTGGAAGGTGGTCCTAAGCACATATAGGTAGGGTTGGAGAGTTAGGGTATTAGGTAGGTAAGGAAAGGCCATTTTATATAAGCTGCCCATCAAGCACATGTGCACTGTAGGCATATAGAGTTTAACTTGCTAGAGCATTACCATCTCAGAATCCCCCACTCAAGGCATGAGAGATGGCTACTGTGCAGCAGCTCCTATTAATAGGGATCTGTTGGTAGTATATGTGTGTGTTTGGGTTTATAAGTGTCAACAATTCACTGGCACCTCAAGCCACCTTGGGAGTGACAGACAGGTACTAACAAGGACATATGGATCTGTGTGGGTGATGAGCACAGGGTCTAATGTGAGCAGCTGAGGAAAGAGAGTAGCATATGAGACCTCACAGACCCAGGAAGGGCTGGGGCAGAGAAGTGGGTGTGAATGCACGGAGCTGTGTGCCTAGAAGAATAGCCCCTCTTACTGTATTCATGCACTGTAGCCCGCACGAAGCTGCTGTTGCCTGGTGCCAAGGTCTCATTGGGCATGTGCTCCACACGGAAGGTCTGGCGTGCCCAGGCATCCCCAGATAGCAGCTTACTTGTGTACCGCTTCAGGAGCTCCCCAGATGCTGGCACCACATCTGCATCGAAGACCTGCAGTGTGGCCACTACAGTGCCCTACAGAGAGCAGGATGTCATGTCAGGTTGGGAGACAGGGACTCCTTGGCATCCCCACACCTTGCCCACAGATGGGCCCCCATTGCCCCTCAGATCTTGTGAGGGTGTGTGTGTGCACTCTGGAACAGCCCACAGGGGCCCAAGCATGTGGTCCTCAGAGTTCTGGCTGTGGGGACAGATTGAGTTGGGGTGAAATCCCAAGAGGCCTCCCTGTACAGAGGGTAGGATAAGAGTGCTTGCAGACTTTCCACAGGGCTCAGTGGGGCAGATGCCATAGAGCTCTGCTCATACATCTCACATAGCACCCCTACTCTGCCCTGAGGAAGCTGAGCCAAGTGGGTAGGGGTCAACCTGAGACCACACAGTGGCAGGATCCAAGACCAGGTAAATATCAGATATGTCCTTCCAATACCCTCCCCACGCCAGGCTAGAGGGTGTCTCCAGGAAGATTCAGAGTACCTCTCTACTCAAGAGACCTCCCCATTTATTCCTAGAATGCTTTATTACTTCCTACCTCACCTGCCAAAAGCTGCCCCTGGGTGCTCAGAGAAGTAGGCAGAGTTCACACAACATGGGGGGCCTGGTCACCCCATCCTGCTACTGTGCTGACTGTAGGCCTGGCTGCAGGAAGCCCAATGCCCAGCAGGTGGCAGTCACACTCTACTCTGTGGACTCAGGCTGGGGAGAGGTGGGGGTTGTGTGGATCAGATCTGGAGATCCCTGTAGAACTACCCTGTTTAGCTCCAATCCCTGGCCTTCTCTCCTGTGAGCCTCAGCTGCCCCTCTCCTATAAGGACTGCAAGGATGGAAGGGAGTGCTCCTCAGGCAGCAGGGCTGGGCTGTATGAACTCAGGAACCCACAGACATGCTCAAGGGGCTGTACTGCACTTTCTCTCCCTCCTCTTCCTCTGTCCTAGAAGCTGGGAGTAAACTGTCATAGACAAATGGACAGATAGACAGATAGTTGGACAGATAGACACATGGCTAGATGAACAGCTGAACAGACAGAGGAATAAATGGACAAATGGAGACAAAGACATCTGAAAAGGCAGACAGATGCAAGGACGGACAGGCACCTCCTTCCGCTTGAACTCCACCACAGCGCTGGCGGTGTCGAGTCCCCCAAGGAAGGTGGGCGGCGAGTCGTCCTCATCATACACAGTCACAGGGAATGGCACCATCACTTCCTCCTCACGGGCACCATCCTGCACTGTGCACGCAGCCACCAGTTCATACTTCTCCCGCTGCTCTCGGTCCAGGGCCCAACGTGTGCTCACCTCCAGGCTGTCTGGGGTGCACTGGAAGGGCAGGAGCTCACCTGGGACCAAGTAGACCAGGATCTGATGACCAAGACTGGGCAGCTGGGGCAGAGATGGGCGAACTGCCTTCCTTGGGGGGAGGGGTCTGAGATCTGGGATCTGATGGGGAACATGTCAGCTCTCATGCATGCTGGCCCCCAAGTGGCCCTGTGCCTGCCTACTTGGCCCCACTAGTGTTATTGGAAGGGCAGGATAAGGGGCCTGTGCTGAACAATCAAAGATATCCAAGGTGGATCTCTATGAACCACTGCTTAGTGTTCAATGTCTCCCAGGGCCTGAGCCACCTGTACTCTGGGGGCCTAGAGTGATGCTGCTTGGGAGTGGCTCTGGCACAAGCCAGGTTGAAGGCCCAGATATCCAGTTATGGGTCTTGGATGTTTTTTAAAAAATAATGTTGGGAATTTTTAAAATTATGGAAGCAAAACGTGCTCACTTTAGAGAGTGTGAAAAATAACATGCCACAATCCCATTTGAAAAACAAAAACAGTGGATATGTGTGCACCATCAGACAGGGCTAATGCAAATTCATAACAACTCGGCTCCACTACATCCTGTAGTGTGGCCAATCCATGCCTTAGTTTCCTTGCTATACAATGGGGCAATGGTAGTCAAGGTGCCCATCCTGCTCTGCTTGCTGACATCCAGGGACTATAGTCATCTTCCAACAAGCACAATATACTCTCTACCAGAGCCCTGCCTAGAATCCACCCTCAGGAGAAAGCCCAGGAAAGGTGTACTACTGGATACTGGAGGTCACACCAGTGAGACAGCCACCTACAGAGGTACTGCATAAACTCTGCTCCCTGGGGTAACATGCTTTTCACACAGAGTCACGGATTATATAGAAACCTGGAAATTCTTACCACATAATGCTTTCCTCTACTCTTTCTGAACACAAAACACATATTAAGCACAATTTAAATGTGTATATTTTAGTGAAAAGGGCAGCATGTAAAGCCACATGCTGTGCTAATGGTCTAGCACAAAGATTCTAAACCATGAAAAAGGAGAAGAGGTGAAAAGCATGTGGGTGAATGCTCTTCTGACTCCATCTAGAATTTCTACAAATTTCTTTGGTGGAAAGCATAGTTTGACTCTGTTCTACTGCTCTGACCTGTTTGAGCCTCAGCCCCTAAGTCACTTTCTCTCTGCCTCTACTCAGATCCACTCCAGTCTACCTCCAACCTTCCCTCCTTATAGCTGCTTAGGCAGAATCCCTAGAACCAGGCTTATATCCTTTTTCCCTCAGCATCCCATATGTGGTGGCATAGGGCATGAGGCATCTGATTGCTAACCAGAAGCTGGTGGTTCAAACCCACTAGCCACTCCTTGGAAGGAAGGTTGGGCAATCTACTTCTGTAGTGATACTGCCTCAGAAACCCAAAGAGGGGTCACTATGAGTCGGACCCAGCTCAACGGCAGTGAGTTTGTTTTTGAGTAAGGAAATCTAGCTGGCTCTCCCTTCAAAATGTGCCAGAGCCTGCCTGCATCTCAGCTCCTCTGTTCCTACCATTGGTCCTGCCCCCATCCTCATGTACCCACTTTGGTCTAGGGCCCAACATGTGCTCACCTCCAGGCCATCTGGGGTGCAGCGGAAGGGCAGGAGCTCACCTGGGACCAAGCAGACCAGGATCTGACGACCAAGACTGGGCAGCTGGGGCAGGGATGGGTGAACTGCCTTCCATGGGGGGAGGAGTCTGGGATCTGACCAGGAACATGTCAGCTCAAATGCATGCTGGCCCTCAGGTGGCCTTGGCCCCACTAGTGTTATTCGAAGAGCAGGATAAGAGGCCTGTGCTGAACTATCAAGGAGGTCCAAGGTAGATCTCCATGAACCAGTGCTTAGTGTTCAACATCTCCCAGGGCTTGAGCTACCGGCACTTGGTAGCCTTGTAAATGGCCCCCTGCTTCTTCCTGAAACCTGCCTACCCAAATCATTCCCAATACAGGAACCAAAACCCTTCCGTAGTTCTCATGTCCCTCAGAGGGACAGCCTTGACAATCTTCATGGTTCACCCTCTCCCTATATGTCTCTACCATTGCTACCTTTGTCCCTGACCCCTAAGGCTCTCTGCTTTTCCTGTGCCCAAGACAAGAGTTCTCTTCATCCTCTGTGGAAACAAAGGTTCCAGCAGGCAGAGTATCTGCCTGCTTTGTTTGTGGTTGCATCCTAAGTCATTAGAACACAACCTGGCCCACGGCAGGCATGTGAAAGATTTTTCTAGAACATCAAGGAAATGGACAGTGTGATGGTGGAATGGACATAAATGCCTGGCCAGTGGGCTACACTCACCTCCTAGGAGCCGGTAGGCCACACTGACATTGGGGCAGAAGAACTGCACAGGCAGCAGATGGAACTGGTGGAAGGTGCCAGGAGGCCTGTTCTCTCGGATGCGGAAAGACAGGCCTGTCTCTGGGAAGCAGAGATCCCTGGGTTTCAGGGACCTACAGGCCGGGAAGGAGGCATTGATGAAGGAGAAGTACACACGGGCACAGCCTGGCCACTGGCACTCGCCCTCACGCATGGATGCTGGTGAGAGGAAGACCTGGAGATGGATGGTGAGCAGGGGGAACCCGCCATCTGCAGAGAAAAAGTCATCAGAGCCTGTGGGCACCAGGACGGAGGAGGGGGGCATTGTTATGGGTTGCTATAAAACTCAGTCGTCAGGGTGTTCCAAGGGCTCTACTGAACTGACCACCATGGCCCAGTGCTTCCCATCACCCTCTCCCACTCCCCCTTCCTGCACCTGGGGCCTCAAGGTCCAGAGATCTTGCTCCTTCTATATGAGTACCAGTGTCTCACAGTCCATCTTCTCTGGCCATTCAGACTCCACTCAGATGTTCTTTCAAAAGGCCACCATGAGCTCTGTATCTAACTCCCCTCATGCCACTCTATCATCCCTATCACATCACTGTCCCCCACAAGGGGTGACTTGAGCACTTCCCCCAACTCCCACAGGTGGGCAGCTTCTCCAAGGCCTGCTCCTGCAAAACTTGGTGCTGTCTCCCCTCCCCAAGTGGTTTTGTTGTGAAGGCTCTGCTGAGACACAGACCCATGGACAGATTTCCCCAGTACTGAAAGGGAAGATTTCCAGCACATTCCATCAATGCTGCATCACAGCAACTTCCCCTCCAGTGAGGTCTCGATCTCCATTGGAGAGCTCTTCCTTGAGTCCTTGTCTAGCCTTGTAGAAGTGTTGCTCCTCACATCTGCTGCTTCTACATTCTTTAGAGTTCTCATTGCTTCTTGTTTACCCATACTCTGTTGCTTCAATCTCCAATTTTAACTAATAATTCATTATATAAACACTCCCTGTTAAGTATGATTTCTTTCCTGATAGGACCTTGAAGAATATAGAGGCCTCTCTCAAATCACAACCATGGAAAAGAGATCCTGTTAAGCACAGACCCATGCACTTTGTTCTATAGCAAACTTCACTTGGGGCTCCACTCCAGGGAATTCCAGATCCTGTGTGTACCACACAGGAAGCTCAGGGTGAAGATAGCAGGGACTAAGTAACTGCTGAGCTGAGACCCAACTCTGATGTGACCTCCACACTTGCCCTTCCACAGACTTCTCCCATCTTGTGGTACTGCTTTACCTGGCACCAAGAGCAGTCGTTCTACCTAGAAAGGTACATTACCTCCCTTGTGTTTATAGCATGCTGCCTATCTCCCATCTTTGGACTGCTGCGAGGGCCACATGAGGTCACAATAGTCCCATTAGGTAGAGAAGTGGCACAGAAGGTGGGAGACACTGGTTACACTATCACCCTGTCGTGCCAAGAGGCAGGCTTGGACACGTGGCCTAGACTCCAAGTGGACTCCTTTGTAGTCTTCCTCCTTCTCTTTCCCCCGAGCACCTCAGCCTGGCCAAGCCCCTGCAAGGCCTCAAATGCATGCTGCTGTGGCTAGGAAGACAGGCTGTTTGTGGAAACTGCTACTTCCCCAGCACACTCATGGTCATTTGCTTAATAGAAATCCTAGAGTTTTCCTAAGTCTTCTTACCCCTCAATTATTTTTTAAACCAATTGGAAAAGGCTCCTGGATTTGTCATGCAGAGGGCCCTGAAGGCATACACACAGTTCTCCAAATATCCCAAAAGCCTCAGAGAGCCAAGAGTCATCAGTGACTCCCAGACTCATCGTGGCTTCCTCACCAAGCAGGATATTGGCAGGCCAACCTCACTTGGCCCCTCACATGCCAAGACTTGTGGAGGAAAAGCTGTGCTGATTCCCCTGGATTTGAGTGTGGGTGAGACAGGGCTAGAGAGAAGTGAAGATGAGTAGGAACAGTGGGATGTGATGGAGGTGGAGCAGGGTGAAGTAGGGTAGGGTGAGATGGGACAGGAGTGGGGATGGGGTGGGATGGGGAGATGGAGGCAGGTGAGACAGGAGCTGCTCACTCACTTCGGGAGCTGAGTTTCTCCCAAGTGTTCTGGTCCAGGCTCTGGTTCAGGTAGAGGAGGCCCTTGTCCTCCTGAATGCAGATCCAGTTGTTCTCATGGAGCCGTGAGCGGTAAGCACCATAGAGGTATTGGCCCAGTTGGAAGTTGGGCACCTCGCCAGGCAAGTCTTGAAGCGTGTAGACATAAAGCAGGGGTGTGCCAGCTGGCTGGTCCACATATAGCTTCTCCCAGTAGGTATCCCTCGAAAAGTAGAGGCCCAGTGGGGCTGTGGAGGCAGGAGAAATCAGAGGGTTGGGAGGCAAGGACATTCTCTCACCTGAAACCACATTCAGCCCTCTAGGAGAGCCCCAGGCCTGAGGAAGCATCTCAACCAAACCACCATTCCCACAGAAGTTTTACTTCACACTATGATAAAGACTTCTTCCCAGACATTAAGAAAACAAAACAAAACAAAACAAAACAAAATCCTCAATATAAAATTCTGATCCCAATTAAAAAAACAAACAAACAAAACTCACTGCTATTTAGTTGGTTCTGAATCATAGCAACCCCTCCTTGAGTTTCTGAGGCGATATCTCTACAGAAGTAGATTGCTCAGTCTTCCTTCCAAGGAGTGGCTGGTGGGTTTGAACTGCCAGGCTTCTGTTAGCAGTCATATGCCTTAGGCACTATGCCACCAGAGCTCCTTCTGAGCCCAATAGGAATTTCTAATCTTTAATCATAAATACAAGTATTATTAACACACAATTATTTCTACAGGTAAGCCCTGACCGAAAACACTTTTATAAAAGAAAAAGGTGGTGAAGGGGAAGATTATAAAATGATTGCAAAGTCATTCTAAATTATGCAAGTTTGATAAATGCATGAGCCATGCACAAGATGGAGGTCACACACGCTCAGAACAATTCACCTGGGCAGACAGTCAGAAAGAGGTGTGCAGGCCAAACATATATACAACATTTTCTAAGATAGTCATAATTACTTATCTAAAGTTAAACATACTCCTACAATGTTGTTGTTAGCTGTTCTTGTGTTAGTCCTCAATTCATGGCAACTTCATGCCTGGGTGTGTGCCATCCTCATCATGGGCTGTGGATCAAGCCATAGGGTTTTCATTTTCTTCCCAGTCTAACTCAGTCTTGAAGCTCAGCTGAAATCCATTCAGCATTATAGCAAAATGAGTGGCGCTGTGCATGAGGTACATTGACCAGGAATTCAACCTGGGTCTCTGTATGGAAGGTGAGAATTCTACCCCTGAACCACCACTCCTACCATACAACCCAGCAGTCCCACTCTACTCATTTAAAAGAAAAAACAAAACATATATCCATCAAATGACTTAATTATAAATGACAAGATCAGTCACAACAGCCAATAATGAGCATGATGCAGATGCCCACTGCAGTGATGGATACACAGTGAGTGGTGTGTTCCTGGCATGGAACCACTCAGCAATGAGGAACGACCTGCTGTGACCTGACCTTGGAGATACCAGGCTGAAGAGAAGCAGCTAGCAAACAAGAAGAATGCATAGGCATGATTCCAGACTGATTTCAGGGGATGATCTGACAGACTGGCTGCCTGGGGTAAAGAAGGGAATGAGACAGAAAATGGCAGGAGGGAGCTTCCTGGGTACATATATATATATCATTATGGGGTACGGGACATAATGTATATCCATTTGTCAAAACTGTACATCTAAGACAGAAATTTCACCTTAGAAAACTGAACAAATTTTCATTGAGGAGTGTGGGTAGTGAGGTATAAGCAATACAATAAAGACAAAATGGACACTGTTACTGTATCTGAAAATTTCAAATTTCAAAATTCAGAAAGGTCACTGACTGTTGAAAATATACCCCAAAACAGATAAAATAGTGACCATAAAGTCCAGTAGCTTCCCCTTTGTCACAAAGACATCTGTTAGCACCTGGTTAGCAGTCAAATGCCTTAGGCACTATGCCACCACAGCTCCTTAACCATAAATTAGTCCAAGTTTTATCTTGTGCACAGAATTTCACTTCAGATAATTTCCACTGCTTTCTGAGTAATAACCCTGGGAATTCCCTTACCTTTATTATTTTAAAACCTCAAGACCACACTGGAGGGTTTGTTCAAATGACTGGGAGCCAGAGAGACCACCTAGTATCCTGAAATTGGCTAATCTCAGAAAGAGGAGAATGATTCCTTCAATCATGTAGGAACTCAAAAACAAACACACACACACACACACACAACCAAATTCACTGCCATTGAGTCATTCTGATTTATAGTGGCCCACTGGGTTTCCAAGGCTGTAAATCTTTACGGAAGCAAACAGCCACTTCTGCAGAATGGCTGGTGGGTTTGAACCACAGATCTTTTGCTTTTCAGCCAAATGCCTTAACCACTAACACTTAACCAGAGATCCTTTGTTGAGACTAGGCAATGATTAATTTTGTTTCTTCTTCTTCTCCTTAAAAGCTTCATTTTAACTAGCTTGCATTGTGCTATTTGCTATTTAGTTTAGTTTTGTTTTCTTTTTAATGTTTTTTTGGTAATTTGGGTGAAGAGTTACAGAAAATATCAGTTTTCCTTTTAACAATTCACACATTTTACTTCACACCACTGATTGGAATTCCCACAATGTAACATCACTCATCCCACTTCCACCCTGTGTTTCCTGTTTCCATTCCTCTTCCTTTCCTATAGGATCCCTGGTGGCATAGTGCCTAAGGCATTCAACTGCTAACCAGAGTCTGGTGATTCAAACCCACCAGCCACTCGTTGGAAGGAACATTGGGTGATCTTAGCTGAAAGCAAACCAAGTTCTGCAGTCTGAAATTGACAGAACATGCAATCAAGAAGTGTTGATTATCACTGGTGACTGGAATGCAAAAGCTGGAAACAAAGAAGAGTTACCGTTAGCTGGAAAATATGGCCTTGGTGATAGAAATAACACTGGAAAGCACATGATAGAGTTTTGTAAGAGCAATGACTTATTTATTGCAAATACTTTTTTTTCAACAATATAAGCAATGATTTATACACATGGACTTCCCCATATGGAATACACAGGAATCAGACCGACTACATCTGTGGCAAGACGCAATGGAGAAGTTCAGTATCTTTGGCCAAAACTTTTAATCCAAAACAGGAGCTGATTGTGAAACAGACCATCAACTGCTCATATGCATGTTCAAAGTTGAAGTTGAAAACAATTAAAACAAGTCCATAAGACTCAAAATATGACCTTGATAATATCGCTCCTGAATTTAGAGACTATTTAAGGAATAGATTTGATGCATTGAACACCTATGATCAAAAACGAGAGGAACTGTGGGATGACATCAAGATCATCATCCATAAAGAGAGCAAGAGGTCATTAAAGAGACAGGAAAGGAAGAAAAGACCAAAATGGATGTCAGAGCAGACTGAAACTTGCCCGTGAGTGGAGAGCAGCTAAAGTGAATAGAAGAAATGACAAGATAAAAAAGCTGAACAGAAGATTTCAAAGAGCAGCTCGAGCACATAAAGCCAATTACTATAAGGAAATATGCAAAGACCTGGATTTAGAAAACCAAAAGGGAAGAACATGCTCAGCATTTCTCAAGCTGAAAGAACTGAGAAAAAAATATAAGCCTCGAGTTGCAATGTCAAAAGATTCTGTGGGCAAAATATTAAATGATTCAGGAAGCATCAAAAGAAGATCGAAGGAACACACAGAGTCACTGTACCAAAATGAATTGTTCAATGTTCATCCATTTCAGGAGGTGGCCTATGATCAAGACCCAATGGTATTGAAGGAAGAAGTCAAAGCTGCACTGAAGAAGATTCAAAATGGAGTCTTGTCAGTAAGCACCACGCTATTTCCCTCTGCAATCTAAGTGCTTGAAAAACTAGGTACAGCAGTTGGAGTTATGGATTTTGGTGCTCTGAACAGCTCACTGAATCAGAGTGCACCAAACACAGAAGAGCAGAATTAGAGGAAAGGCACAGGGAGATTATTTAAGAAAGAGCTACCTGGCGGAGGACGGACAGGAAGCCAAGAGAGGCCATTGGAAACTTACCTGGGGCAGCCACTGACTGGCGGGTGAGGGCAGCCACCTGAGATCCCCATGAGCCAAGAAAGAAGACACCCTATATCAGCATACCAGTGACCACTCTAACATCCCAGCAAACAGCCCCAAGGATCTGCCTCCAGCACCTGATTTTATCAGTAATTTGGGTCACCTAAGTTCAAACGGGCGTGCACAGCACCACTGAAACTCAAGCAGAGAGCTCACTGTTGCGTCAGGAGGGTGAGCTTGCTCCCCTTTCAGCGAGTCACTGAGTGGGCTTGGGTCAGCCTGGGAGACATTGTGTTTATCTTTGTCACTGATATCGGGATCACAGTTTACTAGCAGGTACTCCCCTGACTACAACACAGCTGAAATCGCGCACATGTTTGGCACCGAAGGAGGGTGGCATCACAGAAAAACTCCTGAGTCATTAGCAGTCTGGCGGGATTGCACCAGCGCCACGGGCAAATGGGATGGGGAGAGAGAGAGGAAGCTGCAGCTGATTGTGGTTCCAGGAATTTGCCTTGCATAGGCTTTTTGTGCTGAGGGGCCTCAGAAGCTGGGTCTTTGAGTGTGCCTGAGCCTGGTGGAAAGTGGCAACTCCCTAACAACAGGAATCTTTCCTGAGATTGAGCTTCAGTCTTGTGAATAACTATGTCATCAATTTGCCTGCGCAAAACCCTAGGAACTGACCCTAGCAAAACCAAGCTTTCCTTCTTCTGGTAACGCCTTCTTCACCAATAATATCACTCATTCAATAGAAGAAACCATATTCAGCCAATTACCATAAAACCTCCCTCTTCAAACTCTAAACCTTCTTTATGACAAACAGAAACACACATCCCATTCGACACAGTGATTCCACCATCACAAAGAAAACAGCAGAGCAACCCAACATACCTGAATCAATAATAAAATACACCAGCTTCACCTTTTTAAAATATTAAACCATAAAAACAAGACAAAATAAATAAAAAAGTAACCAACAGCTAGAGACAACCTAAAGAGACAGTGCTCTACCAGATTCCAGGGGCTTATGAAGAGGTTCTGCTTTCCAGTAAACCCAAGAGCTCTCCAGACCTGCATGACTGAAAAGGTGCGACACGCCTCTTGTTACTCTTATACCCCACAACCACTTGGTGAACAGAGATACAGCTACCTCCCACTCCACTCACCTTGTGGGCCCGCAGGAACTCCATCCCAGTCTGTGTGCTCAGACGGAGCCTGGGTGTCCTGTCCTGTCCTCTGCTGATTTTTTTTTTTTTTTAATTTTAATTTTTTCTTCTTTTTCTCTTTCTTTTTCCTAGCATGTGTGGGTGTTTTTTTTTCCCCCTTTTTTCATTTTTCTTTTTCTCAGGGTTAACCATGTTCTGGGTTGGGTTTTTTGTTGTTGTTGTTGCAATTTTCCCATTTTTTCTTCATTATTCTCCTTCTCTACCTTTTTTCTCTTAGTGCCCTATCCCCAGATATTTCAGGTTTTCTTCTTCTTTTCTCCCCTCTTTCTTTTTTTTTGGTTATTGTTCCTGTGTGATTACATGGTGTATTTTTGTACATGTGCTTTTAGTTTTTTGATGGTTATTCAATTGTATTTTTTATCTAACTGAGCAGGAGACAGCAACAGTTCCCATAAGATCCAAGTACACCCACACCTCCTGCAACTTCACTTACTGAGCAAGAGCCAGTACCTCCTTCTCCACCAACGGGCCAACAATAAAAAACTACCAAGAAGAGCTTGAATCACCCTTGGCTGCTCTCCACAAACAATTAACAGATATCTTAATACAATACCACAATGCCTCAGAGACAACAGACCATCACAGTCCACACAAAGAAGCAGGATAAAGTGGTAGAAACAAGGGAACAGGATACAGACCCAGAACACACCCCTGAGGAAGAAGCAGCATTGGAACTCTCTGATAAGGAATTCAAAAGAATTATATTTAGTTATCTTCAACGGATTGAGAGACAGACGAAAGAAAAC